TGTTCTGTGATGCCCACAGTGGCGCAAGGACTGGAGTGCCCTTATCTGCTGCGCTTGAGAGCGCAGGTGCTAGGTTGGGAGCTCGTGCCATCCCCAGGTACCAAGAGAGATCTGTGAGAGAGCAGTCGCTGTCCTGCCGGGCAGCCCGCGCAGCCTCGCCTTCGGATGTAGCCCTAGAGCTGCTGCGTGTGCCCCGTGCATGTCCGAGTGTGGCATCCTTGCCGCAGGCAGCGGGGTCACTCTGGGGATGCAGGAAGGACAGTGACAAGCACGAGAGGGCCCGTGGTGCACACAGTCGTGTCCAGGGCCATTCTGAGGACCGCACTGGTGCCTCACTAACTCACGGTCCCCCAGAGGCTGCCCAGGCAGTGTCACTGAGAGAAGGTACTTTGACAGGGACACTGATGACTCTAGAAGTAGCACCAGGGGCTCTGTCCGGAGAATGGTGCCAGCGGTTATTTCTAAAGTCCTTAACAGTTTCTGCTCACATTTTCTAAGATTTTTTCCTCAGATCTTTAATTTTCTTTTTAAAGAAAAATACTGATTGTGTCAGAGAACTGAGCTGGGACCCGGGTGCTTGGGGTGTAAGCTGGTGAATCTGGCACAGCAGTAAGAGCAGGGACCTGGCCACCAGGTTCAGGCCTGGCCCGCCCACATGGACACTCCCATGACGTAGGCAGCTTACTCCATCTGCAGGGCCTCGGTCTACTCACCTGCCAAGCGAGGACCTCAGAGTGCCTATCTCCTAGGTCGATGAAGGGGTACACGGTAGCATGAGAGCTCTGTGGGCAGTGCTGGCAGTGGCTGCGAGTTCTGTGTGGTCCGCTTGTGGTCACCTGGCTTCCGGAGGCCCCCGGCCCTGCTCACAGGCACTGCGCACTCAGCTCGCCTAGCGAAGGCCCGCATTACTGTCCACGCGTGCAGGCAGGCAGCAAGCACCTTTTATGTTGCAGATGGGCAGTGTGTCAATCCCTCCTTTATTGTGCTTAGTTTCAAATAGATGTGATTTCCTTTTTTTTTTGTTTAGGACTGGGTGTGCAGTGTCTCACTGCGTGGATTGGACTCGTAGTGATCCTTCTGTTTACAGCCTCCCAAGTGCTGGGGTTACAGGCACGTGCAACCACACCCAGTCTCAATTGCTGTCTCGGCATGCCCTGGGGTGGGCCCGGCCCGCAGACCTGGGGATTGAACCCCAGCCCCTGCATCTGCCTAAGCAGGCATTTTAATCCACTGAGCTATTTGCCAGCCCTAGATGTGATTTCCTGATTACAGCAAATAACTCTAATTTTGTATTGTAAATGTGAAGAAAAACAAACAAAATAATCTTAGGTCAGAGCATAAAGTTTGGAAATACAGATATCTGAATACAGTATGTGTGCACACACACTATATATATTTAAAATGTTACATTTTCTTCTAAGTTTGAGCCCCAGCAATGTCCCTTGATTCTTAGGAGAGGTTTGTTGCTTGGCTTTGGTGCTGAGGACCAAGGTCAGAGCTTCCGGCTTGCTCGGCACGCCCCAGCCCCAGCCCCAGCCCTCGACTCAGCCTCAGCTTGCCTGTCTGTGAGATGCAGGTTAGTGGTCTGCAGCCTTGTTGCGCTGATGAAACAGAGCAACACGGTGAGCACCTTCAGCCAGGGGCCACCACTGAGGACCAGGAAGGAATCTAGGTCGCCTGTTTGGTGTATTAACTAAGCTGAGGGCTTATACCAAGGAGCAGAAGGTGGCCAGCACCCTCAGGCTCCACTTCCCTGGCGCCAGCCTGACATGCTGTACCTGCAGCCACTGGGCTTTTAGAGCTGGTTATTGCCGGTGTAGTTTTGAATAGTGTAGAAAGTCCAGAGTGCGTTTTGTTGGCGTATATCAAAGTTTTTCTGGTTTAAAACCCTGCCCTTCTTCTCACAGTTTGAAGGTGGCGAGGCACTGTCCAGTGCGAACCTGAGCCAGAGGTCCCGGCCCAGCAGCGACCTCAACAACAGCACCCTGCAGTCCCCTGCGCACCTGAAGGTCCAGCGAAGCATCTCAGCCAATCAGAAGCAGCGGCGCTTCAGTGATCACGGTGGGGCCCCAATGCTGGGGACAGAGAGAGGCGGGCTGGGCCCTCCCACTCCCTGTCACATGCCCCTGTAGCCCGCAGCTCCCCCAGAGCCACTCAGCCGCAGGGCAGAACAGATCCCATTTGCAGGGCTGAGCTTTGTAACGAAACAGGAGTCTCAGTGCAGCACAAAGCCTGCAAATGCTGACGTCTCTCGTGGAGTTCGTGTCCAGAGAGGAAAGTGTGTCCCCTGTTGTCCGGCTAACTGTGCTGCTGTTTGCCTTCCAGCCGGCCCATCCATCCCCCCGGCTGTGTCCTACACCAAGAGACCACAGGCCAACAGTGTGGAAAGCGAGCAGAAAGAGGAGTGGGACAAAGATGTGGCCCGGAAACTGGGCAGCATCACAGTGGGCTCGAAAAGCGAAGTGACAGCCAGCCCGCTCACCGGCCCCGAGAGGAAGAAGGCCTCCACCATGCCCAGTGTGAGTGCACTCGGCCGCTCCCTCACTGTGCTCAGAGCCTCTGGGAGATCGTTAGCTTCGGCCCTTTTAAGTGTGTCCATGGGAGTCACAACTGGAAGAGCTCGAAAGAGGAGGAAGCTGCTCACAAAGGCCATGAAGCCGCCGAAAGGACTCAGGGTCATGGCCTCCCCAGCTGGGAGAGCTCCCCTGCCGTAGCTCCTCTGTCTGAGGCAGTGGCTGAGTGTGGTGTTAGGGCTCAGAGCCGGGGCGTGGCTCGGGGAGCACTTGCCTTGCAGGCCCAAGACACAGGGTCAGCCCAGCTCTGCAAACCAGAAGCCTCCTGTTCAGGGAAGGCGGCTGGACTTAGGTGTGAGGGTGCCCAGACACCACATGGAGGTGCACACTGTAGCCGTGGGAACGAGAGGAGCAGTTGAGGCCCCTAGAAGGCACGCAGGCGGGGATGGTAGCTGAACAACACGCTGAAGTGTGCGTGATCTGGCGTGTGACATGTAAGGGCTGGAACAGGCGCTGAGATTCCAGGCAGCGTGAGGCTGGGTGAGGTTCCGGACAGCCCCACCTCTCGGGCAGGTGTACAAGCATCAGAAATCACAGTGGTGAGCAGACCCAAGCGCAGGAGCTGGTGGCAAGCAGCTGGAGAACAAAGCTGTGATGGTAGCTTTTAAGCCAAGGGCAGGAGCAGGAAGTGCTTACATCATGCAGTGGGAAGCACAGGGATCGCTGTAAATAGCAGGCAAGGCGTGGCGCGCAGAAAAGCACCGCGTCTTCCTCACAGTGGGCTGGGCTTGGGGTCGTGGGCTGCGGCTCAGTGAGACACGCTGCTGTTTACAGGATTTTTTTTTTTTTCTAGCTCAGGCTGCCCTAAGTGCCAGTCTGGTGAGGTTGTGGAGCTGGGGATGGAAGCATGGTCCCTTGCGCCTAACTGAATCTACGCAAGCAGATGACTCAAACAGTGGAGCTAACCCACAAGCCCTCAAGCTGTTAGAATAGGGACCAGATTGTCCCCTCCTGGAGGCACATGATGACTTTAAAAGTCACAATGTAGAACCGCTTCCCTTCCACTTGATCCTCCTGGAAACACGAAGGTTAGAGCTTCTACACGTGGCTTTCCTAGGCTGGCCACGGGCTTACCACCTGCACAGCAGGAAGAACAGAGGTGGTCACTGATTCCCACCCCCCATGTTGCCTGTCTTTCCACCCCAGAGTCTCATCCTGCCCCGCACACAACCAGCTCTGTCCCCAGACCCCTCTGTGGGCCGTGGCCATTGGCTGTCCCCTTCCCTGGGTGGCTTTGAGGCCCGAGTCCTCCCTCTGCGCAGCCTTCCTGGTGCAGTCTCTGAGGTGTGGCTTTGGGGCTCCACGCTGGCCAGCTCTGTCCCCCGTGGTTCCCACGGAAACTGCAGCTCTGCTCGCCTGGCACACCGGTGCCCAGTGGGTGGCGGGCGTGGGATCGTGCTCGCTGAGGAGAGGGTGCCTCTGAGCGAGAGCGTGAGTGCAGATTCACGTGCTGGGCACAGATCCTCACTGTTTAGATCAGAGCATGATTCTGGTAGAGAAATTCTGTTTTTAACCACTAGGGTTTTTTTTAATTAAATGGTTAATTTTGGTAATTTGAGAAAGGGAAATAATAATTTTGCTTAGAGTTGGGAACTTTCTAAAGTAAAACTGATGGCATCCTCTTTCCTAGCTATTACCTAACATTCTCAGCTCTTCACATGACCTGTGCCAGTGATTTGGGCGGAGTTCTTCCCTGGGTTTCCTTGTAAAAGAGAGCTTAAGTGACCCTACAGAATTATTTTATTGTGCTTTCTATTTAAAAAAAAAAAAAAGAAAGAAAGAAAGAAAGAAAGAAAGAAAGAAATAGGCCAGATCGTGTGTGTTACATTTTTGTCTTCCTCGCTGCGGTGTGGCAGGTCGTCTTAATAGCCGCACGTGGTCAGCACACGCAGGCACCCATGCTGGGACATGCAGCCTTTGGGGCATGCAGGACCCCCACTTCTCAGTGTGAACATCTACCTGGACTTTGGGTGGGCGCATTTCTCTCCACTGCACTTTCGCAGGCCTGATTCCGGGCCTGCTGCGAGCCCGCACTCTGTGCTAGCCTCACCGCGCTGCAGGGGCCGGCACCGGCCGGCGTGGCCTGGTCACCCTGGTGCCTGCCCATCTCCCTGCGTTCACTGTGCGCCGCTGTGCTGTGAACCTGGTGGCACTGGCTGCCTGATGGCGGTCCTCACGTGTACGCGTGTAGATTTTCAGTCAGCACTGCCAGGGTGATTCCGGACAGTGGGGGACCACAGAGAGCAGCGACCTTCCCACAGGACCATCAGCAACGGACATGGCCTTAAAGCTGTGGCTAATCTGAAGGGTGAGAAAGAAGGATCCTGCTTTGCCTCTCCCACTGCTGGTGCAGCTGATGGGCCGCATCTGGGTCCCTGTGCAAGTTGGCAGTTTCCTTAAAGCACCTTAGATCCCTTCTCTGCGCAACTCCTTAGGCAGAAGGGACTTGAGCGTTTGTGACCCAGGGTCTGCGTTATGGTAAAATACTGACTAGACAAATGCATAGTGTTTGCCAGCGAGTACTAGTGTAAGCATGGTGGACTTTCCCCTGACAGGACACGAGAGCTCCTTGGCTTCTGATGGTAGAGCGTCACCCACGGCATGGGTAGGTGACGTGGTAGGCGATAGTTTAGTAGTACTTTTTCTCCTGGTCCTGGGAGTGAAACCAGGGCACCCACACTGAGTTACATCTTCAGCCCTCTTTTATTTTTCATTTAGAGACAGGGTCTCGATAAGTCGCTTAAGTGGCCCAGGATGGCTCAGACCTGTGATCCTCCCCCTGCCTCAGGAGTGCTGGGCCTGCAGGTGCGCACTACTGAGCCTGCTAGTTTTAACAGCACAGTTAATGTTCATAGAATTTGAAGCAGATTTTGGGTAACAGTGGAAGATGCCTTGGTAGTGTTATTTAACGTTAGGCTAACCAACCGAAGAGTGATCCTGGCAAATGATACTTAGCTGGCAGTTGGCAGACAAGTGGGGAGAGTGTCAATTTCCACCAAAAAAAAAAAAAAAAAAAAACACCTAACTTTTTGAAAAACAGGACAAATTACTTCCCTCAGAGATATAAAACGCTACAGTGATTACTGTATCTAAATATGTTATGAAGATGCTGCATCTAAATATGGTATAAAACTAACTGCAAGTCAAGGGCCTGGTATATGTCCTTTCTCTGTCCCCAAGCCCTCCCTCATCAACCCTCCATGCCTCTCAGAAAGCACAGCTTGGGTGTGTGACCTAGGAAGGGCCACTGCAGAAGCGTGTTCTGTGTGTACACCTGTCTGGCACACCGACTCCCACCTGAGCGTCCCTGGCACTAGAGGTCAGGCAGGAGCACAGGGCATGAGCAGGTGAGACCAGACTTGGGGCACTGGCCCAGGCACATGGGGGTATGGTTTGCACGGGACCGAAGGACAATTTCTCCAGAGCTATGAGATGCCCAGTGCTGGTTGGCTGCGCCTGGTGCATCTTCTGCCCATGAGGGACCTGATGCCTCCTTGTATGTAGTTTTATGCAGTCTTAATAATTTCCCCTATTTTCTGTTGTTTCTAGAATTTTCCCCGGAATTGAAAATGTCCAGTAAGCTTCTAGACAGTTGAACTTCCTTTGTATCTTATAAAGACAAAGTAGGAAGTAACTTAAATGTTCAGAAATGAGGAATCTGCCGCCACAATAAAATCCAAGTTGTGTGTGCAGCTGTGTATGCCAAGCTGTGACATTTTTGTGTCATTTCCCAGGGGCACATGTTAATGGCAGACTAAATGAGAAAACAGGCGAGGCGGGGACAACCTCACAGTAGGAAAGGCACATGCCATTTAGTTTTTAAAGAATTCTGATGTGAGCTAGTTTCATAAGGAGTCAATGTTCATTGTCTTTGTCTTCAATTAACAGAACAAGTCTTAACCTCAAATTTCTTCATAATCTTGGCCTCTTTTCCTGCTGTACTTTTGTAGTTTTCAATTTATGCTTTTTCCATAACCGGTGACAAAACTCCTTTCACCTAAGATGCTGTACTATTGAAAGGTTTTAAATCTTCATGTACACAATTTCAGTAGTTTTTTTGCTTCTCCAAGTGAATTCAAGTAAATATTAATTTTCTGGCCCTCCTTATTAAATAAATTTTAGGCTAATTATATATTTTAAAGAATAGTAAAAATAGATTGGACAAAAATAAGATTTTTGTTTTCCTGTTGGATAAGAATGAGACAGAGAGTGCTTTAGGCCTTTCGAAGATCCTTCTGTACGCTGTAATAAGCAGCGGTTGGCAGGCAGAGCCGGAGGCCCGGCTGTGCGTGGTGGGGCACACCCGCTCTGCGCCCTCCCTCGGCCGCCGGCCTCCTGGCTCACCCCGACTCCAAGGCCCCCTCAGAGAGGCTCCCGGGGCTCGCCTTTGGCCCGCGGCTTTGGTATCTGGGCCGTGGCGGTGGCCGGAGCCAGGGCTCCGGGCAGGAGCAAAGTGGGAAGGCGGGCGTCTGCACGGCCTGGGCCTGCCAGTGCCAGGGCTGGGCGTGAAGGCGAGCCTGCCCGCGGCTTCCCACCCTCACCCGCCGAGGGAGCGCCGAGGCCCTGCTGGGCGGCGGGCGGTGGGCGCGAGGACGACGAGGGTGGGCTGCGTGAGAGCTCGGTGCGCGGAGGGCGGAGGCGGCCGGTGCGCGGGGCTCTGCTCCTGCGAGGTCCTCGCGGCAGAGCGGCGCTAAGGACACTGTTGGAGCTTTAACGTCGCTCTCTCCTTCTCAAAGAACAATGTGTACGGCGGCGGCAGCATGGCCAGAAGGAACACGTACGTCTGCGAGAGGAGCGCAGACCGCTACGCCGCGCTGCAGAACGGGAAGGACAGCAGGTGGGCGCCGTCTCCGCGGTGGGCTGGCTGCGGGGCCCGCAGATGAGCAGGCGGGAGCGCGGGAGTGCAGCCCCGAGAGCGCGTGCCACGCCGGCCTGCGCCAGCTGGGGGGGCCGGGGGCGAGCGCGGCAGGACGCGCCTTGCGTGACCGACCGCAGCTGGGGGCAGCACGCCCCTCTGCGCCCCCAAGTCGTCGCTGGACCCAGGCGGAAAGGCCCATTTTACATCCCCTGAAAAAACAGGGCCTCCCTAACCGCTCGGTCGGAACCACGAACTTCTTAAAGTATATTTTAAACGATGATAGGTCCTTTATTTTTATTATTTCAAGAAATGCAACCAATTCATATCCTGGGTTGGATCCATCCTAACCGGCCTGTGTTCTCAGCCGAGCACTTTCTCCCTTCTCGGTTAGAGCCCTTCTCCGTTAGAGCCCTGCGAGGCTCCAGGCTCGAGATCAGTGTCTTCCGGCGTGAGATCCCCTAGGCCAGACAGCCGGAAGCCCGTCTGCCCGTTAGCTGTCCTCCTGTGCTGAGCGCTAAGCCGGTAGGCAACCGAGAGCCTGTGTGTTGAGGCTGCCAGAGGCAGTGACCGGGTGACGGTGCACTCGTGCTGCACGCGTAATCTAGTGGCGCTGCCGCCGCCGCGCGGGCGTGAAGATGCCTGCAGTCGGAGCCGTCTCTGCAGCGGTCACACAGGCACACAAGTGGTTTCCTGCTTCTTAGGGTCACATGAATATGAAGCGAGTGCTCCTGAGATCTCAGTGCGGGAGAGTGCTCGGCTCTCCTGTACGCTGCGTCTGGGCTGCGGCCAGGACGCGATCACCCCCAGCCCTGCGTCTTCAGGCAGGCTCTCGCTGCAGGCCGGGTTCCAGCTTGGCTCCTCCCGCCTCGGCCTGCCGAGGAGGAGCTCCCTCTGTACGTCCAAGAGTGCCAGCAGCCTCATTAGCCAGGTGCCTGGTGTGAGGCTCCTTGAAGTGATTCAGTCTTGAAAAGTATTGGTCTATTTAGATTTTTTAAAATCTGTGCCTTCACCTTTAATAAGCTGCCCTTTTCTCCTTTGTTGCCTTTTGTTTTCCGTTTCCGGGTCTTCTCACCTGCTTCTCCCGGAAGCCTCACGGAGATGTCCGTGGGCAGCATCCCCTCCGCCGGAGCCTCCGCCGCCCCCTCCGCCCGGCCGCGCCACCAGAAGTCCATGTCCACGTCCGGACATCCGATCAAGGTCACGCTGCCAACCATCAAAGATGGCTCCGAAGCTTACCGGCCTGGGTACGTCCTGCTCCCCGCGCTTTGCCTGGTTGTTTTAGAGACTGCCGCAGGGTTTGGAAATATGAGGAAGTCGAGCTTCCAGCGAGAGAGAGCCGAAGCATAACTCACTTCCCAGCCTCCTGGTGAAGCCCAGTGTCACTGGCTAATTATCACTTAAGTAAACTGAATTGTTTTGCTAGCTAAACAGACAAGACAGGGGGCCTTAAGACCCCCTGGCTATGCCAGTGACCCTACAACCAGATGAACTCCCAAGATGCTGTGCAGGTATACAAATAGATGCCTCTGTCTTATGAGCTCTCAAATTTCAGAATGTTTTTACCTTTTTGATAAGTAGGTTTTTGTTAGCTGTATCCTTAATGCCATTATAGGCTTATGCTGTCATTGAGGCCTAAAATTAAAAGTGGGAGATTTTATTCAAAAATTTTCTGATAAACAATAAAATTCATGGTCCACACTAAGCAGTTTAAGAATGCAAACTGAGAATCCCTTGTCTGAAATTGTTGGGACCAGAAGCATCTTGAATTTTAAATTTTTACAGATTTTTAAATATTTGCATAATGAGTATTTGGGGTGTGGCCAGCAGGTCTAAACGCATGCATGTTTGTGGTCTCCCTCACACCAGCAGCCTGAGGGGCACTTCCTACACGAAGCTTGGAGTTCTTCCATTTGCCTGTCACTGGTCACGTGAGGTCAGAGTTGGGATTTTCATTTTTGACATCAGCAGGGAAAGTTTCGTCCCCAAGCTGCTTCGCCGCTGGGGCGCTCCGGTCCTGACCAGTGTTTGTCTTTGTGTCTCTGTGGCAGTAATTTCTTACTCTTTAGTGACCAAGCTTTGGTAAAAAGTGTTGAGCTTTAATTACACTAAAAGAAACCCTGTCCCCGTCCAAGGGGGACAATAACTCCGCCTAACCTGGGAGTCTTGCCTCTGCCCTCTGCTGCGAGCAGAGGAAATGGGTCTGGTTCTGCTTCTCACGGCGGGTGCCTTGTCCCGCAGGGCCACCCAGAGAGTGCCTGCCGCCTCCCCGTCGGCGCACAGCATCAGCGCCGCCACGCCGGACCGCACGCGCTTCCCCAGGGGCAGCTCCAGCCGCAGCACCTTCCACGGGGAGCAGCTCCGCGAGCGCCGCAGCGCTGCGCACAACGGGCCGCCCGCCTCCCCCGCGCACGAGCCCGGCGCCTTCGCGCACGCCCGGCGGGGCACGTCCACGGGCATCATCAGCAAGATCGCCTCCAAGTTCGTACGCAGGTCAGTGCCCTGCGTGGAGTCGGGAGCGCAGGCAGCCGGGCCTTCGCAGAGATGGCTTCCAAGGTGGTTCCTGAGCTCTCGTGGGAGCTGCTATTTCGCAGAAATTGGAAGAAAGAAGTCGAGTAATACAAAAGCCTTTTTTCTTATCAGAGAGATAAGAGGGACAGAAAGAATTTGAAAATTTTAAAGGGCTGTCCAAATGCTCCGCGGATTAAAGCGCCTGCAAGCAGACCCAGGGCCCAGGGGTTCAATCCCCAGGCCTGCTGTGCCGGCCCCGCCCCCACGGTCTGTGCTGAGATCGCGATTGAGCCTGGGCGTGGTGGTGCACGCCTGTAATCCCAGCCCTTGGGAAACTGTAAACAGGTGGATCACTGAGTTCGATCTAGTAGTGAGACCCAGAACAGCCTGTAGATCCTTCCCTAAAAAATAAAAATAAAAAATAAAATATTGGGGCTGGAGAGATGGCTCAGTGGTCTAAAGCACCTACTTGAAACAAGCTTGGCAAAGCACAGGGACCACGGTTCGATCCCCCAGCACCACATGCCAGCCAGCCCCGCCCCCTGGTCGGTCCACGCCACGCCTCCCATGCCTGCTGCCTGCAGAGCCCATGGAGGGAGGTGCAGGGTGGGTGTGAAGGGACCGGGCAGGTCCCTGCCTCCAGGGTTAGCAGTCTTGGGAGAAGGGTACAGTAAACCGCTGGCCTTCACGTAGGTCCGGGGGACCACAGGCTGTATTTGTTCTATCAAAAAGCCATGTCTTAATAGTTTTAAATTAGTTTAAACTTGATATTTCTATCTAGATAATTACTCTTTAGAATGACTAAGTGATTAAAATGCTGGTGGACTTCAGAAATGCTAATTACCCTCAGCGGAAGGCCAAGTGTTTGCTCAGTGGTAGCTCACAGGTGGATCCACAGGTGAGATCAGGGTTTGTGCTGAAGACGGAATCTGAGTTGTAGATTTTTTCGATAGGCTTTGACTGCCGTGCATGAATTGTTAGCAGAACGTTGAAATAAGTCAATTGTTTATTTAAAAATTGGTGTTTATCTTGAGAAATACCTACATATTGAACTTTATTTCAAATTACAAGGTTAATTTATATACTTTCTCAATTGAGTTAACCACTAGAATTATATATAACAAATGTGAAGCTTAATCTTGTTGCTTATAATTAGTAATTTTAAGTTGAGATTATATTGGACTAACCCCAAAGGATAAACCACGGCACTAAAATCGTGGCTGGGAATTCCCTTGGCGTCTCTGCTTCACTGTCCCCAGTTCTCAGTGGCAGCACACAGGGCCACAGTAGGAGGGTAGAACATGAGGTCACACAACTAGCAGTAAAGTTGTTATCGTGGACAAGTTCATCAGAGAGTCACTTTAGAGGTGGCTTTCTCAGGATATTTCTCACTTCTGTCATTAAACATTTCAACTTTTACTTTGTTTTGAGGGATCCGAGTGAAGGTGAAGCCAGTGGCAGAACGGACCCATCCAGGTAAGGAGCTGCCACCGTGCATGAGTGCTGGGTCCCCGGGCCCAAGCACGGACCTCCCTGGTCGCCAGGCCTTGGCAGTAGCGATGATACTTATATCTGGGCAGGGTCCACCTCAGCTTCATGTTGGGGTAGGCTTGAGGGCGGCTCGTGTGTAATGGTGTGTGAGTGAATCACCTTGATGCTTGTGTCTTCAGGACATTATCTAGAGTTCCATAGTCGGGAAGGAAATGGCCTTTCTGTTCACCAAGACGCCTCATGGAAGTTAACAGGCCACAGTGTCCTCACCCGTCTCACTAGTGCACTGTAACTACACTCAGCCCATGCCAGGCCAGCACAGGTCACACGGGGTACCTGGTGGCTACAGGTGCAGGATGGCTTGGTACCCGTGGTGTCTCGGGCGAGCACTCAGTCCTGAACCTTTCATCTCTGTCCTGAGTTCTCCATGGGGTTTGGACATTAAACACTAGTTGAGTATTCCTGCTGGTAATGGATCTCAGACTCCAGGGCAGTGAGGACCACAGGGAAGACTCGGGGTTGTGAGGGGCCAAGCGCCTGCATCCTGACAGGAATGGTCGGGGCCACATTGCTACAGCTGTAGTTGTGTCGGTGTTGGGGTGCACACTTCCGACACCTGGGACACAAGAAATGCCAGTGATCAGATATTCTGGGTGTACACAGGAGTGAGGAACACGACAGGAGTCTCAGACCCATAAGTAGTTCTACAGGAAGACTGAGGCCTGGCTTTACTCAGAAATTACTTTTGACCAGCTGAACTGAGGCCTCTGATTTAATTTCTTCTTTTTAAATCGTTTGACGTAGGAAACATGATGGAAACCTGTAAAGCCTTCTCCTGTAGACCACTGTCCAGACTTGTCCCCACAGTGTGTTAGAATTGGACGGAATAGTTTGGAGTGCAAGGAGTAAGGTTTTTCTAACGCACTGTGTTTGTATCCTCACTGGGGTGCTTCTTTCAGAAGCTCGGTACCAGGAGGGAGGGGGCAGATGCACCTGGCTTCCCCTTCCTGCCAGGCGACCTGGCCGCGGCTCCTGGTGCTCGCACCTTGGCCCTATGGATCCCTGGACGTCCTCAGAGACGCTTGGCAGTGTCAGGGCCGTGGGCCGCTGCGATGTTGTGGCTCATCTGCCCGCGCTTTTGTCTCTCTGACATGCTACCTCGTTCTATTAACATAAGAATTTAAGAACTAATCCTTCGTATTTCCTTCACTGGAGAGCAGTTGCACTTGTTTTTGAGCAAACTTGTCAAATCTCTACTATTTATGAAGTGCTTGCTGCTCACTCGACCTCCAGAGCAAGCTGCTGCAGACGCCATAGCGCAGAGGATAGAGTGGGGGTGCAGGAGGTGCTCAGCGGTGTGCTGCCGCCTGTGGTTAGACGCACAGACTGCCCGCCGGCCTTGGCGTGGGCTGTGTTCCACCACCAGCCCTGCTGTGTTTGGAGGGCGCCTGGTACCTGCATCTCCTGCGGGCCTTGTAAGCGGGAGGTGCAGGGTATGCTTGGGGTGCTGCGCATGGCTCCTGCCCGCAGCTCAGGGTGCACAAGCTGCTATGTGGGTGCCCACCGTGTGGGAGGCAGCTGTCTGCGGTCCACGGGGTTGTGTGACAGGTACATCCAGATGTGTGCAGCCTCCCGTTTCTGCACCACCTTAGGGACACGTGGAAGGAAAGTGGGCTTCCAGTTCTCTGGCTCTCTAACCTTGGAAAAGCAGTGTAGGTGGCTTGGCTGTGTGTCGGTCCTGTGTGGCCTCTCAGCCCCTGCCCTAAGCCAGTGTGTGTACTCTGTCACTGTGGGTACCCATGGGCTCACGTGGCCTCCTGGGGACCCGAGTGCAGTGGCCAGTTCGGTGAGCAGGGAAGAAGTGGAGCATGGATAGGAGAGCGCCCCTCACTTAGCAGGCGTGGAGAGCAGCCTCTGCCTGTTCTCTGCAGGTTTGCAGTCTTGGAGACTTACCTAGGAGTGAAAGGGCCATTGGATATCAAACCCCACGGACACAAATGTAGGCGTGCATACCTGACGTTCTAGTATTGATGTGTATTAGTAGAAAATACTCACATAACAGATTACAAATTCCTTTCAAAATATGTATTTTCTTAATTCATAGGTGAGATAGTTAAACAAGTTAAAAACCACAACTTTTATCTATATTTGTACAGTTGTTCAGCAGATTAATTACAGCACATTCTGTCATGAATAACCTCTTACTTTTACCTACCTGTGATTCACTTACTTGCAGTAGGTTCTCTGGTTTACATAACCAAGGCAGATTAATCTGGCAGACATGTTGATCCCCATCCATGTGCTAGGGTGGTTCTAGATGCCTGAGATACACCATCTGTTCCTGGCCATCCTAGAGTTGGCAGTCTGTGGGAGACACGGGTGACAAGGAACAAGTCTGAGGAATGGCTTAGAGCACTGGTGGTGACCTATGGCGTGTGCGGCCGAGAGGCCATCAGTTAGAGAGTGTTTGGAACACTGTAAGCACTGCAGGGAAGACACAGTAGGGCGCAGAGCGGCGGGGTGCAGGGAGGGTGAGGTCCGGGGGGGGGCAGGGCCCCATGGAGAAAGGAGCAGGACTGTGGTGGAAGTGGGGCACATGGCACCCAGCCTCGGTGGGTCCGGGGTTGAGTGGGCCGCGTGTCAGGAGTGGTGTGGAGTCCAGCATGTCTCCCCACACACCGGCCCCTGTGGGTGTGAGCAGAGATGGGCAGGCAGGAGGGCGGTGGCCTCGGAGACTGCTGCAGGGATGCGGGCAGTGAGTGGCGGTCCCAGGAGGCACCCAGCGTGCGTGGCCCAGCTGTGCCATCCTTCGGTGAGAGCCCTGCGCTCCAGCATCTTCGCAAGCTGTTGGTCTCTTGCCCTCGTTACACTTGTTTTATTCAAAAAGGGCAGAAGAAACACAAAAAAATAAATTTTTATATATCAAAAATATGCTTTACAGCCAGAATGCTTGTGCTCCTTGGTTCTTGTGTTTGTTTTTGTCTTTTGTAAACTAGAACAGAAGATGTGGAAGGAACTGGGAAGAATATTAAATTTTCACTTTGAGCTGCAAATTTCCTTTCCACAAGTAAATGTGTGTAGGGGAAATACGCTACGCTAGCTGAATACGCTTGATGGCACTGGACACCGAAGCAGAAGGCCTCTCTGGGCCTCGCTGCGCAGTAGCCACGTAGTGCAGAGCTTTGCCAGGGGAGGGTGGACCGCAGAGCGGGCAGGCTCCGTCAGCGCTGAACTACACCACACGTCTGTGTGCATTTGGTTCTTCCCTGAATGGAACGTTTGCTTTTCTTCTCACCTTTCACTCTGTTCTTGCAGAAGTGCGTCTGGGGAACCGCGAGAGCGAGAGAAAGAAGACGGCAAAGACTCCAAGCCCCGGTCCTTGCGCTTCACCTGGAGCATGAAGACCACCAGCTCCATGGACCCCAGTGACATGATGCGGGAGATCCGCAAGGTGCTGGACGCCAACAACTGCGACTACGAGCAGAGGGAGCGCTTCCTGCTCTTCTGCGTGCACGGCGACGCGCGGCAGGACAGCCTCGTGCAGTGGGAGATGGAGGTGTGCAAGCTGCCGCGGCTGTCGCTCAACGGGGTCCGCTTCAAGCGGATATCAGGGACGTCAATGGCCTTCAAGAACATCGCATCGAAAGTAGCGAACGAGCTGAAGCTGTAAGCTGCCCCCGCAGCGGGGCGGGCGCGGGGGGCCTGGAGGCTGCGACACAGCGCTGAACATGCGGCGGGAGCCCCGGAGCCTGCCCTTAATGCAATAAGCTATACATAGTCGTGAACTGTAAAGTTAAAGTCCGTACGAGCTGTAATAAATAGCTGTAGCTTACAGAGTAGGTTCACATGTACAGGTAAGTATATTGTGTATTTCTGTTCATTTTCTGTTCATAGAGTTGTATAATAAAATACAATTGCTTAAAAACTTGTATAGTTGTCTAGATTTCTGCACATAATGTACATTTTATGCTCTGACTTGAAGTGTTTTCCCTGTTATTTACATTCTGGTGGGCTTTTAAAATTCTTACCTCCATCATACAATTCTGAAAATTGTGTCCAGGATTAATAGTGCAGGAACTGGTTTTTACCACTCTAGCACAGACTTTTAAAAATTATTTAAAATCTTATTTAAATTTCAACCAGAAGCTGATAAATAGATCTGCTTGTGGTACACAGTTATTCCTGCTCACATTTACTCGGTTTCATTGAGAAGCTACAAGATGTTTACGGCTTTGACACTAGAGTTTCTATGACAAAGTACATGAAAATAAAAGAATAGCTTTGCCTCAAGCTAACTAAGAAATACTAGAGAAAAAAAAATTAAATCTGCACCAAGTTCCTTTGAACTTTGAAGAGTTTTCTGAGCCTCTGACCCGCAGCAGTGAAGTGGAGAAGAACCAGAGCGTCCCCGGGTGACTCGGTGGAGCCGGCCCGGCCGCTGCCTCCCGGCCCGCGGGGTCCCAGGGCAGCACTGGGACTGCTCCCGGCGCCACCTCGTCTTCGCAGCGTCAGTCAGTTCAGAGGTAGCGCCGCCTCGGGAATTAGCGGGTGCTGAGGACGCGCCCTCGTCCCATCGCCGGCCTCTGCATTGTCTGTGACACTCGAGGACTGGGGATCGAGACATGCTGCTGGGACGGTTTCTGACGGTTTCTCGCTGCTTGACACACAGGTGGCCGTGGGCTTGTCACGCGTGATCTGCGTATTTTGCCAGGTTCCTTGTATGTGTTCCACCTCGCTGCGCCCGTGGCGTGCAGCTTTGTGATGGACCTCGTCAGCTTTTCTTTTATACTTAGTGACATGCACAATACGAAGGCACTGGTAAGGGTACATTTTAATACTTGTTGTTTTATACTGACTTAGCCCCGGAGGTTGACTGTGCAATGTTACTTAATGTGTACATTACTGTAATATCAGCACATGGACCCCACCTGCACACTCCCGAGAAACTGTATTCAGATCTTATCAGCGTGAAGAAAAATAAAGCTGGGATAAGTGCTGACCTCCTGCCTGCGTGGGGAGCTTAAGCTCGGGTGACAGCCATGGCCCGGCGGCTCCAGGCCGAGTGGGTTTTCCGTTCCGTGCTGTGCTGTGCTGTAGCTTTCTTCTGTAGCACTCTGTTCTGAAATGAAGTGTATTCTCGCCTTAGCAAAGGGCAGTGTCCGGAAAGGAGAAGACTGTGCAGCTCCTTCTTGGCCTAATGTCCCCCCAGCACGTGGACGCTGACGGGGACCCACTCTCACAGGCGCACACTGGAGCTTCCCTTGAACAGCTCTCGTAATAAAGCTCTTGGCTTTCGCTCTTTATCGGAATGTGAATGACCTGTTTTCTAGTAAAACATTTTTTACGAAGTGTTCTGTAGGGGGTGGGAGGGGTATGTGCTAAAGTGAGTTGGCCAAATGTCATTATGACAAGAGAATTTTCATTGTTTATACGAATGCTTGTCATTGAAATACTTTTCGAAAAACAGACTTCGGGCCTTTTCCAAGGTAGAAGCGGGCATTTTCGTGTTTTCTCTTGCCAGCCAGTTCTTTCTGTTTCACAGCAAGGAATTTTACTGCCATATTTTTTATGAACTACAAATATCGATATTCACTTTATATTTCCCATTTTATTTGTTTATGGCAGCACAAATATTCTTTTGATGACTTAGAATTTTAAATATGTTTGCACAAATAAATATTAGTTTATATTCACTGGCTATCTGGGAGCAGGATTTCCTTGGCTTCTGTGGAAATACTACTTGTGATGATATCCTTACATTAAGTTAATTATTCTGTAGAAACTGGAGCATTTTGTATCTGCTAAGTAGAAGCAGTAAGAGGAAATAAGTTCTAGAACCTTAACCTGTAAGGTAGAATCTTATTTAAAACCTGAAAGCCTTTATTATGAGGTGAGACTGACTGAAAGTATCATTCCACAGTTTGAACAACAAAAATAACACGAAAGAGGTAAGAGTTTGTTGTAACTAAATGACCCTGCCAGCCTACGTGAAGTAACTAAGACCATGTCTTGCTTGCATTTCCAAAGTGTCCATTGAGTGCTGGTGATGGCTCAGTGTACGTAGAGAACTGCAGGGGAAGACACTGATTCCTTTGGGAAGACAAAATGTAGACGTGCACAAAAGGGAAAAAAAAAACCACTCAAATAGGAAACAGTGGAAGTGTTCAAACATAGACAGTAGCGCCTGTGGAAACTCAGAAAATGGGGGCCTTGGACAGGCACCAAAGAGAAAACCTTGGAAGAGACCACCTGGCGGAAGGGCCCCGTGGGCGGGCTCCCAGGCAGCGAGGGCGGAGGGTGCTGGGCGGAGCAGCAACAGACGAGGCCTGGCAGCTCCAGCTCTGACTCGATCCAGGCTGCAAGAGGAGCAATGACAGTTTTTAAGCCAAGAAAGAACCTAACATGTTGGTGTTCAAGAACTGTAATTTGTTCATCTGGCAAGGCTGTTCAGTCCAAATACCCTTCCGATTCTAAGTTCTTGGCAAACAGCAGTAAGAGGAATGCCTAGATCTAGAAGTAGGAATTCACAGGCAAGTTTGAAGACTAAAGCCAAGAAGGTCTTCAGCAGTTATTAGAAATAAAGCATCTTAGGTAGAGAGCATAGACAGAGGTGGTTAGCATGGATTGAAAAGGGTAAATTGGAAAGCATTTTGAAAGTTGAATCCAGGCATCTGGTGTGAATGAACACTTCTCAGATGAAGGATGAAGGGGTGCGGACATCAAATAAATACATGAAAAAGTGTTCAGCATCCCTGGTCATTTGCGAGATGCAAGTTGAAATAACACTGAGATTCCATCTCCAGAAAGAATGGCCGTCGCCAAGAAGTCAGCCAGTAGCCAACACTGCGGCCGCTGTGGGGCAAAGGAACCGTCTCACGGCTAGCGAAGTGTGGACTGGTGCAACCACTGTGGGAATCAGTGTGGAGCGTCCTCACAAAAACCAAGACTAGGAATTCCATATGACCCAGCTATTTCTCTTCTAGGTATCTTCTTCAAAGAGCTAAAACTATCGCACCACAGTATTATATAGAAGGATAAACTTGAGACACGTTTAGATAAATGGATGAACTGGAGATCATTTTAGGTGAAACAAGTCACACATACACAAGTTTAAATGCCACATTGTTTCTCTCGTGAGAAACTCAGAGGATAAATAAGGAGCAAGATGGAGCGCAGATATTGGGAAGGAGGAATTTATGTAAATGGCAAGCAGAACAAGGGAAAGCAGAGAAAGAGGGGAAGGGATTTTTTTTTTTTAGAAGAATGGGTAGAGGGGCTGGGGAGATAGCTCAGTAGGATAAGCGCTTGACTGGCAAACGCAAGGATCTGAGTTCAATCCCCGGTTCTGCAAAAAAATAAATAAATAAATAAAATAAGTAAATAAATAAAGAATGGGTAGAAATAAATGGGCAAGGGTCAAAAGGAGGGGAAGTGAATGGGGAAGAAGTGCGTTACAGGTACAGATGCCTGTGACAAATATAATCATGTATGGCAAACGTGTACTAATAAATTTTTTTAAATACACAAAAAAGAATTAACAAATGTCATGAATAGGATTTGCGGACTGTGAAGGTGAGTGCAGTTTCCAAGTGACTCAGGTTTTGCAAGACAGCCGCCTGTCTCATCTGTGAGTGAGGGCCAGTCTGCACCTCGCAGCTAAGAGTCGAGCAGCAGAGAACATGTGCAAAGCAAGAGCTTCACGCAGTGTCACCCAAATGAGGCTGTCCAGACTTGGGAATCAGCCCACTAAGGACATTGAACCCTCCCAGGAACAGCGGAAATGGGCCTCCCAGTGACCAAGCCTCTGCCACCAGAGAATTTCCAACTTGTGACACTGGGAAAGGACCCCTGGCATGGCCTGCATTCTCCCTGGTTAAGTCAGAGCTAAGGACTGGGGAGGCCAAGGCAGAGTCTGCAGGCAGAGCACCGTGGAAAGAGCAAGAGCGAGCGTGTGGAAGTGCCCCAGGCCAGGGAGGACACACCCGGCAGAGGAGGAGAAGCAGTCACTGAGTCCGTGCAAGCAGAGCGCCTGCTCAACCAGCCAGTCAGTGAGTGGGAACAGAAGGGGTCGCCCCCATGATCCGAGGCTTAACTTTGCTGATATCTACTTACCACAGCAGTGTCCCCAAGGATAAAAGTTTCTAGGCAACCTAATGACCCAAAACAAAGCTCAAGAACACTTTCAAGAATACAAAACTTGTGTCACCCAACAAGCTAGCACGTGCCACCCCCAGCCTCTGCTCTGGGCCATCGGCACGCGAGGGTGCAGGGTAATGTGACTTGCAAGGAGGAAGGAGTCCACTAATGCTGACCCAGCCGGCAGAGGGGGCAGGAGCAGTGCACAGGGGCGTGAGAGCAGAAACCCATGCAGGCTGCAGAGCCTGGAGGAAGAGTCGAGTGCATCGGATTAGGGGGTAAGCGGCATAGAACACAATCCAGACATTTGGAGATGGAAGTTACAACTTCTGAGGCGAACAAAGTGGATGGAATTAGATTAGATGTTGCGGAAGATAAAATAATGGATTTGAAGACAGCAACAGGAACTGTCCAACATGAAACAGAAAAGTACGGGCAGATGCACTGTAGGAAAGAACCAGCAGCACTCACCCCCTCTGTACACTACAGAGTCATACAGTTTTTACTTGTAAATTAAGAGTAAAAGAAAAAAGAAACTCACAGAGTACTCAAATACAAAAAAAAAACAGAAAAAGAAAGGGACAGAAGAACAGATTTTAAACCCACATTTATCAAAATTGCATTAAATGTTAATAGTCTAAAATTTCCCCCAGGAAATCCTGCAGTTGTTAAATTTGATTTTTAAAAAGCAAGACCCAGCTAGATACTGCCCACAAGAAACCTACCTTTAACATAAAGATACAAATTAAAAGCAAAAGGACAGAAGAATGAGTGGCTGGCCTAGAAGCAAAAT